ACACACACACACACACACACACACACACACACACACACACACACCCTCAACCTTACATGACCTTATAAAACTCTCCGTCTCTTGCCTAAACTGTTAGATGACTTTGCAGCCTTCTCCCACCAGAAGCATTTTAAACCTCTGACCCCCCTCCAATTAACAGCCACCATACTGACAAAACATGTGACTTTTTTTTAATCTCCACCTGCAACTGAGATACTGTATGCTCAGTTTAAACGGAGGCTAATGCCTTTGAATCAGCTGTCTGCACTGTGGCTCTTAGTGTAACCTCTCCTTTCCTTTCCTTTCCTTTCCTTTCCTCTCCTCTCCTCAGAACCAGGAGTTGAATGCTGGTAGAATCGGTTTGACTTTGGTTGTTGCTGGGATGGTTGGATCTATCCTCTGTGGCCTTTGGCTGGACCGTACAAAGTTGTACAAGTAAGCGACACTTACACACTTATGTATACAAGCTATAGATATAGTTTATATTATAGGTTGGTGTCAAAAATATGACCCATCAGCCTGCAGGATGGTTTCTGGATGGCAGAATTATTAGTGTATTTTGCACCTTGCATCTTTAAGAACGGTGATCCATTAAAGGCAGAAAGACTTCCTAATAACAAAGACATTACCTTTGGTCTGCCAAAGGACACTGAAGTAAGACTGTTAAACCAAGGAGCTGTGCTCGTGTGTTTCTGAGGGATATTACAAAAGGTTGATTGATTTAAGAACAACTGAGACTTATTGCTGAAAAGTGAAAAGTGTTTTTCAGCGGTTATTATACACTGCAGTGTATAATAACCACTGCAGTGTATAATAACCGCTATGGCATGCTATGGCAGCCTCCATGGCTCACTGGACACTGCCACAGCAGCATTTGCTTGAATGATAAGATCTATTTCACATTCAGCACTTTTGAATGTGTTTGAGAACAGGCTCTGAACCAATGGAGGGAGCATTTTAAGGTTGAGACAGGAAAGGCCCTCCCCAGAGAGCTGACATACCATTACTAAAATATTATTGTGAACTGTAGCAGTAAGATTCCCCTTCATGACAGCTAAGACCAGGCTGCATACTTTTGATCATATAGAGGGATATCAGAGTTGTTTCATATGTCTGACACAAAGAGTGGTAATGTGTTGTGTTGTTGGTAATGCTGTTGCTTTTTCACAGGATCACCACACTGATCGTGTACATCCTGTCGTTTGTGGGCATGTTGGTCTTCACCTTCACTCTGGACCTCAAAAACATCCACTTGGTCTTTGTCACTGCTGGAGTCCTGGGGTAGGTCCAGCTGTTCTTAGAAGCATTCAAGAAATAAATAAATAGATATATATATATTAGGGGTGCAACGATACACAAAATTCACGGTTCGGTTTGATACTTTGGTGTCACGGTTCGATATTTTTTCAATACAAAAGAAAGTGTTCATGCCTTTTTAATTTGTCATTATTAAAATTATAAATATATATTTTAACTCAAAAGTACAGTTTTTAAATTTAATGTTGCTGAAACAACAAAATAAAAAAAGTAAATCTATCTGATCAAGAAATCACTCATCTTTGGAAAAGAGAGTTTATTACAGAGAAATGGCTCTTT